ATTTGACGAGTTTTAGTGTGGTGCTAAGAATAGCAAGGCTTACTAACGATACCGGCAAACGTCTGGGAATATACCACGTCCACGGTCCGACTGGAAATTATCATGCATACTATGGACCCTGGACAAGGTGCTTTGCTATAGGTCTTCCTGCCAATATGAACAAGTTGCGAAAACAAGGTCAAACAATCTTTAAGTTTTTTGAGTTTTGCCAATAAGTTGAAGCCTGTATTTAAAGAATAAGACACAAGATAATATGCTTTTCTGTGTGAGATGAATAGAGAGAAAGTCACAGAATAACACCGTGTATAAAATATTCGACAAACCTTCTGAGCTGGCGTTGATCGGCAACAGATGATACTGGCGCAATGCTGCACCAGTTCTAGAAAGTCAGCTTTATTTTCCTCGACGAGGGCACAGGCCAACGTGGGCCCATCTAGTACCAAAGCCAGACCCGTACTCGGCTGACCGGAGGCAATACAACCACCAAGAGAGCCGGTGATTGGTAAGGAGCCGGATCGACGAATAGCCCAATGATCTTGATCATGTAGAAATCCTCCTTGTAAATTCTGACCGCCTATGGTTGTATCATCCTCATAGAGTTCATCATGTGTATCATCGATTTCTTCTTGATTAGTATATTCTTCCACTCTCCTCGCCTCCCCAAAGTCTCTAGTATAAGTGTTCTCAAGCGGGCTCATGTCTTGATTGAAACCAGCCTCCAAAGAAAAGTTTTCGATATCGTTTCGCGAATTATGGTGAAAGCTACAGTTGGGCCTATTTTGCCAGGAGAAACTGGAGTATGTATCTTTGCTATGCGCTCGCTTGAGGGAGGCCAGATTGGGAACTACACCAGAAGGAAAAGCTGCCGGTACAGTTGCAGCTGGAATATTAAAGTGTGTTGTCCTACACCTGTCTGGCTGTTCAGATAAGGTAAATGAGGAATAGGGAAGATTATTAGTCGTGGAAACTGCGATACCGGATTGAATTTCAAGATGATATTTAAAATAGGAATAGAAAAAAACAGGTTCAAACACCAATGCAGTATAATTATATGCATATACGTATTTGTACACATATTTAAAAAATGTATAAGATTATAAAAACACAAGCAATTAAAAAGATAGAATAGCAGAATTGATGAAAACTATGATCAGGTAATTGATTAGCGAAAGAAATTCCCTTATACAACAGTTTTTAAAAAAATATTCATATTTATTTGGTTGTAGGTATGAAGATCAAGATGGTGTGGACTTTAGTATAGTCGCGATGTACTTATATTGCATAAAAGTTGGTTGACCTTGCTATCACGAAGTGCTAGTGTCGTCAGGGCGACTTAGAACGCACACTGTCTGAAGTCAATAGTATCCTATGTCGGACCCTGAACGTGGCACATTCCCAGACATTTCGATGGCATAGTAAGTGAGTCAAAGAAACAAGTGAAGTGATGTGATTTCTTTCTGAATAGTTCTCCTTTAAGTGTCCAATTGAAGCGAACGAATTCAAAATTCTGGAAAGTAAGTTGACAACTATAGCCCTTGGCAGTTGCACACAAGTTTCACCGGCATCGTTAGGGGGAGGCGCCATAGGAAGGACAGAGCTACAACTTATCAGTGACAAGTACTGTTTAGCAGAAGCCAATTTACAAGATCGTAGGAAAAAAAGGGGGGCAGAATGTAGGCCAGGAGCCCTGCAAATGCCACCTGGTGCCGGTGATAGAGATGATTGGGCTTTACTTAACCCACTTGTAGCCCAGTAAAAAAACAAACATTTAATGTTTCGAAACAAACCAGTATGAAAATTTGGACAAAGGAAACTTGGGAGAGGGATAGGAGATAGGAAGGGACACGAGAGCACAGAATTGTGTGAATATTTGGATGAGCCATATGAAGCGGAGTTGAGAGAAAAAGATACGGCACTCGAGAGTAGAACAAAAAATTAGGGGTGACGAGTGATGCCACAACGATGTCACTTTTCATTTTGATAAGTTGCAACTATTTATCTAC